GGCAAAACGGGGTCGTTTGGGGGTGGGGGAACCTGGACCGGGTGGCGTGGTTTGGGCCTAGGTTTGGGAACGGGTTTGGGGTTAAATGCAGCCCAATTTCAGGTTTTAAAACCTTTGTCCACTTATTAATTCCTTTTTCTTTTGTCTTTCTTTTTCTTTAATTAATAAACTAAATTAAATTCCTAAATTATCTAAATTGTAAAATTACACTAATTATCTAATTATTATAATAATTATAAAGATTACTTGATCCTAAATTATAAGAGAAAAATTACTAATATAAAAATTAAAAGATAAAATGTAAACATCAGCCATTTTTTATTTTCATTTTTAATAAAACAATAAATTAACTAATTAATCCTAAAATATAAAAACAAAGATCTAAATGAAATGCATGGCATTTTTTGTATTTTTTCATGATTTTAATAAAAGTAAACATGCACAGACAATGCAAACAATTAACACAAATTCCTACAAACGTCCTATAAAATTGCAAACAGTTGGAAGAATTTATTTCTTTGATTTGTAGGAGTATTTCACATAGGGAAAAAATCATGTGCTCACACGCCTTAGCACGAGCATCCTCAAAATCAGCCTCAGGAACTTTCCCCACCATCATCAAATTCTTGAATATGTCCAACTGAGCCTCGACGTGGATCCACATCTCGTACAAATTCTGCGGAACATCGAGGTAAGCAGAAGTGTGAGAGGAGGACGGCTGAGCTAACAACTGCACCTTCTCGGCCTCAAGAGCAGCAATCTGATCACCAAGGTTCGAGACCTCTTTCTCCAGCCCCCCAATCCGCTCATCAAGTCGTGCCTCCCTGAGTGTGGTCGTCTCCATATCATTCGCCCGTTCAGATCGGAGGACACAAATCGAATCCTCCAATGCCGCCACCTTTTCCAAAGCCACCAACTGAGCTGACTCGGCCTTCTCCAATTACGCCTTCTTCTCGATGACTTCATCACTCAAAGCATCAGCCCTTATTGTACACTGCTCGAGGTCGGCCCGCAAAGATAGCACTTGGGTCTGAAGATCCGCGCACTCGGCCTCAACTCCCTTGCTCACTTCGAGCTCTTCTTCTTTCTCCCTAAGCGCCCCCTCGAGCTCGCTACATTTACTGATGACCTTTATAAGCTCATCATCTTTTTGCTTCAGCTCGTCTCTGATAGCTTGGAAGATCCCACTCGCACCAAACCGCCTGCAGATATCGCAGTGATTGTTGCTGTATTCGTGGTACTTCGTCTCTATTTTCTTGAAAGTAGCTCTGCGACTCTCCTCTCGGCGAACACTCTCAATCTCCAAGATGATGGTCTATAGAAAAGAACAGAAAAGAAAGTCAATCTAAGAAAGAAAAAAAAAAGAGGAAAAGCTGCAAAGCATAGAAACTAAGAAGGTCGGAAAGCTTACTCTCAGGGCGAAGCCGGCTATGCCCGTCGACAGAGGGGAATCATTGAACGTCGCCAAGGTCCTGCCTTCCGCATTAGAACAGAGAGGACCCAAGGAGGGGACTACATCCTCCGTGTTTACCAAAAGGTCACGGTCCATGGGGATCGCGATGGTACGAGAAGACCCCTCCAACCTCACCTCCACCCGAGTAAATCCTTCATTATACCTCTGCACCTCCTCGGGGTCAATATCAGAACCAGTTTCATAACCGTCCTCGACAACGCCCTTTGCTCTCTCCTCGACCAACGAATGAACGCCGACCGGCCTCGAGGACGATGGCTCGTTCACTAACACGACGTCAGCAGCCTCAGATGGCCCTCTAATTCCATCCCCAACCTCAGGCAAAGGCGACCTTTCCGTGACCCCCCGTGGACAATGGCATCTCCGGCGGGGGGGGGGGGTAGGGGGGGGTANNGGGTAGAGTCACTCTACGGTACAGTAGTGGTCGGCCCATGGCCGTCCCTCGAAGAGTCCACTGCTCGGGTGGTCCCGTCGCCCACATCCACCACTCTCCTTTTACGAGGAATCAAGTCTCCCTCACTTGGTGACGACTCATCTATCAGATGCAGTACGGGAGAAGTCGGAGTCTCTGCTACTGAAGCCGCCGATGGTTGAATTTGTCTACTCAATGCTGGGGGTTGAGAGAAGTCGTCGGATGGGCAGGCTTATCCGCATCCGCAATAAGAACAGGACCCGTAGCAACACCCGTTTCGCAGAATACTGGAGTAGGAGCCCTCGCCCTTCTCGAAGCTCTCCGACCTAACATCGGAAAACAAAGGTTAGGTCAACTCTCCACGGTACAAAAAGAAAAAAGAACATAACGACCTGTAGGTCGAAGCAACTAAAAACTCACAAGTCACCGGAGGCTTGGGCCCGAACTTCTTGTAAAATGCCGGCCACTCATGGATCCCCATAGTATGAGGCAAAACCTGGCTATCCCAGTCATGAATGTCCGCAACCAACGAATGGGGTTCTTTCTCAGCTGAACAAAAATATATATATAAAAATAAAGCGATTACGCTACTACTGAAATAAGCGAAATGAACATTCGGCGGAGGTACTTACGAGCATAGTTCCACGCCTTAGGAAATTCATTAGTATTCCTCACTACGTCCTTGGTCTTGACGTAGAAAATGTTAAACCAAAACTGACGATTGGCCTTATCGTCCATCCTCACCACCAAACTCTTGCCTCCACGATGACGAAGGTGTAACATTATCCCCCTATAGAAACTGGGTGCGTAGAGGTGCAGTAGATGGCGAATAGAGATACCGCGGCTGGCCAGTTCCGCGTACTTTGTCGATATGAGAATGAGTTTATAAATGTAAGGGGAAAGCTAGGTGAGGCATACGCCGTAATAACGGTAGAAGTCCTCCGCCAATGAGGAAAGGAGAAGCGAATAGCCCATAAGGAACGAATGCGCGTAGCATGTGCACTATCTAGGGCAATGAACCTGTACTACATCACGACCAGCCGGGACAAGGTCGATATGAGCCAGGATTCTAAACTTGGCCCTAAATTCAGCAAGGGCCTCCGCGTCCATTTCAGATTCAACGGGCTCAGGCTCGTCATCAGAGCCGTTTCAAGAAATCCGACCAAGCCTTTTCCTTGCGAGGGATTATTTCATCCACTGTAGGGAAGCTTTCGTCCTCAGCCCCATCATCATGAGGGGGCATGCTCACTGACAATGGAACTGGATCAGAGGTCCCCTCAGGGTTGGAAGATGCACTAGACATCTTTGGTTATGTATATGCGACGGAATTACAAGTACATAGGAGGTGGGAATGGAAAAAATTGTTGAAAACAGGAAAAACAGGGATGCAAGAGCACTGAGAAGAAGAAAGAAAAGCCTAGAGGTTCGAATGCTTGAAAATCCAACAAATCAAATAGGGGGTTCCCATCCCTATTTATAAGAAACCTTCCAGGCACCCTAATCGAGGATACAAAGCGTCGCTACACAAATATCGAAATGGTAGGGGCGCGGAAAACGACGTAACGTATCGGGAAAATGCTTAATAATGACGCATGATGTCATGACGTCATTCTAAATCGACATAACGATCAGTTATGGCTCACGAAGCGCCATGTCATCACCTCGCCGTGATCGTTACTACTCAACATGCTCGCCTAAATCTCTCAAACTGCTACTAGCGAAGTCCGCCCATCGAGGTCGTCCAATAAATAACCTCGATAAGCGGAGGGACTAACTGTATGGGTCAAAATCTGACTAAGGGAATTCGGCATGAGGAGATATTGTTAGAAGTGATTAGGCCGAGGTCGAATAATGATTAATGGAACTTACCGCCGAGCAGTCGGTTATGGCCGAGGTCAAACGCTTAAAGCAACAGAAACGGCTAGTTTTGTGATAGGATATTTGGGAGAATATTCCATTGAATATTCTCTGTATTTGTACTTTTAGGTCTGATTAGGAGCATGTTCCATATAAATAGAAAGAGAGAGAGAGTAGATAAAGGGCATGTACTATTGATTTTGATAAGAACTCTCTTGAAAAGTTGACTCTCTAGATAAATACAAACACTACCTTTCTAAAGAGATTCGATTCGTTGTTTATTCTACACTTTTCACATCAGATCCGAGAAAGTCTCCAGCATTCCCATAGTTATTTGTCTCACATCATTGTCGGAAAGAGGAATCATCCACCCCATTCAATATTGGGTGAATCATTCTCTTTATTTACATTAAGTGCCATTTATTGTTATTTAATGCTTGTTATTCTCATCACATTATTAACCTTGAACATTTAATACACATTGCATTACCATTCTAACACTGTCATGCCTTATCCACGTAGACCGATTTCTGATCTGAGGTCATTATCTTTAACTAGGATTAATCTCTTATCTTTTTACTTAATTAGTTTAACCAAAGGTTCATATTTTTTGTCAAACAAATACGAACCTATTCCAAGGTTCGGAATCTCAAAAGGACATAGATAACACCGAAATCCACTTTAAGTCAAACTTAGGGAATTCTAAAATCTTCAAAATGTCAACTTTCAACAATAAGCGCCGAATTTCTCCCGACCAACCCGAAACTCAATCTAAACATACGCGTAAGTCCATAATCATCATACGAACTTTTTGGAACTTTCAAATTCCGATTTCGAGGTCGTTTACTAAAAGTGTTGACTCAAGTCAAACTTGACCACCTTATGCCACTATTATAGAACTAAGTGCTCCGAATTCGATCCAAACCCTTTCAAAACCAAACCAACCATCCCTATAAGTCATAAAAGCACGTACGAGAAGTCTTAAATAGCGGAACGGGGATCCATGAAGCAAAACGATTGATCCAATCGGTACAAGTTAGGCTACCAAAATATGAAGTCCTCTTTTGGATATTGAATGCAGGATCAATTAAATGCAAGAAACACTTTTCTTTTTAACAACTTGCTGTTAAATTCTTTTCATTTCTTCACTTCACTTGTTTCCAATAAGAATTTTCCTACACAAAAATTCCTAAACAATGAAAAGGAGTGAAGATATAACTCCTCTTTGAATCAACCAAGAAGAAAATCAAAATCAAAATGATGAAAATGAAAACCTATAGAAATTTAAAAAGATAAACAATAAGAGACAAATCTCAGAAAATATTGAGAATCTCATTAATGGAACGGTTACAAAGCGGACACAAGCCTCTGTTCAACCACACCTCTCTGGAACAAACCCTACAGTAGGTATGTCCGCAGGGAATAAACGCCGCGCCTTTATTCCTCTCCATGCACACGCAGCACATCTCATCAACTCCACCTCCTTCTTTACTGTACAACTTAAGACTGCTCTTCTCATCTCCACCGTCCGTTTCCTCAAACAACCTCATCAACGTCTTCAGTTTCGCCGTGGCACCCACGCTCCGAAATCGACGTTCTGCCGCCAGAGCTGTAGCAAGGTTCACGCTCCCTTGATGGGCCACAATCGTGGGCTCTTCTTCACCAAATAATTGGGCCTGTATTTGGGCCTCCTCTGCTTCTTCTTCTTCTCTTATCGTCATGTCCGATATTCTCAAGTTCCAAGTGGACCCACAGCAGGCTAGCCCAGTGAATCCCAACCGTTGTTTCAAGTTTCTCCACATTGTCCTCGGCCTATCTTCACCGTCCATTATTCTTACTTCTGATTCTTGAAATCACCACCTCTGTCCTGCAAATTATAATGCGATTTTCTTCTTTTTATTGGCTTGCTTCTCTTGTGTGTGTGTGTGTTATGAGATAGAGGAATAAGAAGACAAAATAAAGAAGGAAAAGACGGTGGATTTTGTCGAGGAACGTAACAGAAAAAAGAAAGGAAGAAAAATGTGGGAATAAAAAGAAGTATTATATGATATGATCATATGAAGAGGAGCAAGATGTTAAAAGAGTGAGTTGACAACTAAGGCTGTGGTATACAGTTCAAAATTTGGAAACATTATGCGGTTAGTTAAAGGCTTACAGCTCATGATTGAAAGTCTGAAAATGTGAATTTTGGCAAAAGATTCACTTAAAACTTCTTAGAATTAACTTAAATAGTCGTCAAGTCATCCGCCTAAATTAAAATTAGTCAGCGAATGTACAATATAAAGATAATTTATGTATAATATATGTATAAATGTATATAACCAATGTATATATACTGGCTAGAAAAATTAAACAATGGATGTGTCTGGTTATTTGTATAAAGATTCCAATTAATACGAAAAAAGGCAGTCCGGTATTTCGCGATCATGCAGGGTTCGAGAAAGACCGCATCTTCCGCATCTCAAGAAGATCCGATGTAAGCAATCTACCCAAATACAAATATCAACACTTATTCCACGACTCGAACCTGTAACATATGGATTACACGGAGACAAACATTGCTTCAAGGTTCCCTCAGTAGAAATTAGATATTATCTGCAGATATATAAGGAATAATAAGAGGTACCCATGCGAACGCAATGTGGAAATTTGCTTTTGTGAATCTATTTAAGAGGGTTAGCATATCATGAATGAGGACAAAAGTTGTAAAAGCGAGCAAAAAAAGATGAGCCCGTTTGCCGTGTAAATGTTTTCACTTTTTCGGAATTTTTTTATTTTTTTTCAAAATTAATATTTAGCCATAAAATTATCAAATTTCACTTGAAGATGAATTTTAAAATTTTTCGAAAATTTTAAAAACTCCGAAAAGCTATTTTTTAAAATTTTCACTCAGATCACTCACAAATTCAAAAACAATCCAAAATTATATTTATGTCCAAACGCAACTCTAATTTTCAAATACGATTTTTACTTTAAAAAAAATCATTTTTTTCAGAATTTTACCATTCTTTGTGTCCAAACGCCCACTAAGTTAAGCATGTGCGAGAAGAAGCATGATGATTATGATTGGATTTCAACTAATAAAGATCCCTCAATAATCAAATTCCCTAATCAAATGCCTTTTTGTCATTATGCAAAGGCTGAATTTTCTGACTAATTTGAAATCAAACAAACATGATGGGCCCCTGGGTTCAGCACTTTATTAAAGTCCACAATTAATCTGGTCTAATTACTGTTCGAAATTGTCTCACTTTTAAAAAATAAAAGATTCAGAAGTTGAAATGAATGGAAAAACCAAAAAAAGATAAACATATAAATTTAGTGTTATGAAAAAGATGGAACCTTAAGATTTAATATCTATTGCCCTTCCTCTCTTTATATGCATGGGCGGATTTAGTACCCAAAATATGATGTACGTGAACTCATGATTTTTTATCAAACTAAATATTTTATGTAAGTATTTCCTAAAATTGATCTAATGGTATGAGTTGGCTCCTATGTTCCAAAAAGATTGAATGATGCACTTAGTCAAATATTAAATTATTTACCTAAAGGAATAGAGATCGATTTTCACTTACGACTTTCTTTTTTGAAGATTTAAGTCAAATAGCAGTCTACCTAATTTCTTAAACTAAAAATAGCCGGTAGATGTATACAACAACAACAACTTCCTAGTTAAATCCCACTAATGGGGTCTGGGGAGGGTAGTGTGTACGCAGACCTTACCCCTACCCCGAAGGGGTAGAGAGGCTGTTTCCGAAAGACCCTCGGCTCAAGAGGACAAAAAGAAGACAAAAAGACAAAATGAGACAATATCAGTATCACAACATAAATCATAAGAAAAATAGGAACAACATGAAATCCAAAAGAAAGATGCAAAGCAAAGCGATAAGCAGTAAATAGGTCCGGCATTGAAAAGCGAAATAGTAAGACACGACATTGACACTAGCTATCTAGACAAAAACCCTACCAGACTAGTCTAACAACGGTATGAAGTAACGCAAGACTCAACTACCTCCTAACCTACAACCCTAATACTCGACCTCCACATCTTCCTAACAAGTGCCATGTCCTCGGAAATCTGAAGTCTCGCCGTGTCCTGCCTGATCACCCCTCCCCAATACTTCTTAGGCCGCGCTCTACCTTTTCTCGTGCCCTCCACAACCAGCCGCTCGCACCTCCTTACCTGTGCATCTGGGCTTCTCCTCTGTACATGCCGGAACCATCTGAGCCTCGCTTCCCGCATCTTGTCATCAATGGGAGCCACGCACACCTTCTCCCGAATATCATCATTCTTAATCTTGTCCATCCTAGTGTACCTGCACATCCACCTCAACATCCTCATTTCTGTTGGTTTTTGGATGTATTTAATTAATATATTAAATACTTAAAAGAGGGTGAATGGGAAATGGAGGGAAATAAAAATTTTTGAGTNACTAACAAAGTTGAAGGTGAGGAAGTCTCAAAGGTTGCCACCAACTGGAAACAGGAGGATTCCTTTCATGGCTGATGATAATGGAGTTTGCACACCAACAAAGTTGCCATATTCCCCAACCAAGACAACCTGGAAGGGGAAGGCAACAATCACTTCTAAGCAGCTTGAACAACAAAGGAGAAAGAATATCAAGATGATGGGAAGAAAAGGAAAGAACCCATGTGAAGACTAAATCTGCAGATCTCTAAATTGTTTTGATTGTGATGGCATTAGATGTAGGTGGTTCTAAACTTATGTTTTGTTGATGGA